TCAACTGGTTGTTATGGTTGGATAAGTTGAAAGTTAATCACCTTGATTTTTATTCATATTTTAATTGAAATTTATAGGAGGTATTTACTGAACGTACATTTGGAGTAGAAAGCAAAGGTCCTTAGTGTACTGACTTATTAGTCATGTCATAGTTGATAGCATTGAATAATAACATTGTCTAAGCTAATGCACATCTAAACTGTGCTCAAATAACTGTTTTAATGGCACAGAATAAAGGTAAAGTATAAACTTATTTTAAACTCAGAAACTACTTCTTAATACATTCTAAGTTTATACTATGTATTACCCATAATTCCGAGAGCAATGAACTCTTATAAATAATAAGAGGACAGTTTAAATCATTGAGATATTTTATACAGTGGGAAGAGTCCCTGATGATCTCTGGGGGCTATCATTAAACCATGCAAATCACAGTGGAAATGCTTTTACATTCTGCATTTGATAGAACAGTCCTCAATAGCAACAGAATAAAAACTGACGGTTTGAATCTACCCTCTATTTGTGTTTTATAATGCATTGACACATTTTACTCAACCACCAATTTTGTACTTTAATTTGCACTTTCTCATGATGAAAATACTCTGAATTGTGTAAGGCTTCTCAAATGTCATAGTTGATGATTATGATCTTGGAGGATAAAGCACCAATGGCTTATGAGAAAAACATGAGTAAATGCTTGGTTCCTAGTTCCTGCTGGCATAAGGTATTTTACCATGACTGCCAACAACAAAAACATGCTAGCCATTTTTGTAATAAATGAGTAAGTACTCAGTGTCAGTGTTTCCTTGCAGAGATACATAACTGAGGATAGCTCATTTCAATCAGTTCTGTGAGCACAAGGCCCAGATAAAGAAATGAGCATACATTAAGCTGTTAAAGCATGAGATCCTCCATATTAGATATGAAGCAAAGCACAAACTGTGCAGTTGGCTGGAAATGCCACCTAATCCCTGCTTAATTAAAGCAGTGCTCTAAACTCCTGTTGTGTTAAGGGAGTCAAGAGTGTGAGACGACTGATGTATGAAGAAAATAGCACTCGGCGTGGCTAATCTCAAAGACTTTGGAGCTTTCTAGCTACATAAATCAGAGCGACTTCTGAATAGCCTCATAAAACACAGTATCATTGCCATTCCACTCACGCCGTTCTGGTTCTTCCTACAGCATGCAGATCATTAGGAAACTTCTAAGCAATCAAGTAATGTGGGTCTGATGAAATTACTCAGTCAATGCACAGCCTTAAAGTAGAAGCATAATTTCAAAATCGCATAGTTTTTAATGTGTCAAAAGGTCTTTCTTTGGGGTGGGGGGTGAAGAAGGTCACAATGGAGGTGATTCATTTCTACATACTGTGTCTGTGTATCTAGAATATTCATATGTTAAACAGTATATAATTATCAATTTTTTAAAAATATGTTTTAACAGAAACACAAAGTAATTATAGTATGCATTTAATGGCAATAAATACATTTCCTTTTCAATCATTAACTTAACCATTAGAATATACCGCATCATTGCAGTGAATTAATGTGTTTAATACAACATGTTAGAGTTTAAAATATGTAACTGACTATATTAATCTACCTGCATGAATAGTAGAAAACAAAGAGAAAGAAAGAAGAATGGAGAGAGTTTTCATACATATATTTTGGTTCAATACCAAAAGGATTCAATATTTAAAGAACCTCTTATAATGGAATACTACTAGGCCATCAAAAAGAAGGAAATCTTACCTTTTGCAACAGCATGGATGGACCTGGAGAGTATTATGCTAAGTGAAATATATTAACCTCTGAAGTGCACACAAATTAGTCTTGAAAAAGACAAGTAGCATATGATCTCACTTATATGTGGAATCTAATGAACAACATTAACAAACAAAAAAGAAACAGACTCATAGATACACAGTCAGAGAGGAAGGGGTGTGAGGGATGGGTGAAAAAGGTAAAGGGATTAAGCAACAAAAAAAAAGTTAAAAACACAGACAACAGTAGCTACCAGAAAAAAGGGGGGTGAGGGGAGATAAAGAGAGTAAAAGAGGGCTAAATGGTGATGGAAGGAGACTTAGGGTGATGAACACACAATACAATATACAGATGATGTATTATAGAATTGTACACCTGAAACCTATAGAATTTTATTAACCAAGACATTCAATTGAATTAAAAAGAAAACTAAAAGTATAAACTCACTGAGATCGAGGTGATGTCTTACACTAAATCTATATGCCCCACACTGAAGTATGTGTAAAAGGTGTTCAATAAGTACATACAGCATGGTGACAATGCTGGCAGACAAAAGGAACCTATTGCAGCAGTGTCTTTTATCTTGCCAGCTTGCCTGAACTACACATTACAGCTACTTTCTGCTTAAACACATCACATGAGGCTGTGGAAACCTTTCATTTCTGCATATCTCCTTATCTCTCTAGAGTTGAAACATTCTTTCCCTCCTGTTTCATCGCTTTCATCCCTTTAGTCCTGAAATAATATATTTACCATATGCATATTTCTCAGATTAAATATCAAAGCATATTTCTCAGATTGAATATCAAATGAAAGCAGTCACCTCTTAAACATAATTCTCTTTTCCTATCCAACCAAGCAAGTAAACTGATCCAATGAATAGTAACAGGTGCTTTAAAATTTCAATATATGGGCATTTAGTTGTGAATTTATTATCGTCAGCCTGAGGTAAGGGGGGGAGGGGGAGACAATTTTAACCTCTGAAGTGTACACAAATTAGTCTTCTTTCTGTCATTTTTTTTAAATTTAGGAGGCAACATTTTCACTATATCATAAAAGATATGGAGCATTTGAAACAATCATCAATTTGCTAGCTTCGTGACATTATTAGGTAGTCTATAAAAGAAGCTAATCCTCTTGTCTAATGTACTAATTGCATTCAAGTCAAATTAATTGTCTAAGAAGTAACGATTTCTTTTAGTAGGACATGCACAGTTCATGCATAGAACCAGCTTTCTAAAGAAATCTGTAATTTGTACACAGTTACTTTTTTGGTCTAGTTATAAATAAGTAAGCCATGTCACACTGACAGACAACAGAATGGAAAGGAAGAAAAAAATACAACAGTTGTGTTCTATTTTGAAACAAATAGCCCAGACTGCATTGCAAAATAGTATTCATCTGGTAAAGGATAGCAAGAGCTGTGGGTGTTTGCAAATAGTGTATTTATTGTGTAGACCACAGCGTAAGCAATAAAATAAGCATGTATCCCCAAGCCTTCCCTCCTGAGTGATAAAGAGCATAAGGCAGAAACCCCTAATCATAAAATTGAATGCAAAAGTACAACAACATATATCTACATTCTTGTGGCAGTCATTTACACTGGACATAAATGTAAGTCATTTATTTAAGAGGAGCCCAGTTCATTTCTGAACTCCATCAGAACATTACTGAACCCCTCCATAAGACCATAATTTCTCCCTGAAAAGTTCAGAACCCACAGGCTGTTAGCCCCCAAGCAAAAGGTGAGCTAACAGGCAAGCTATCTAGTGTTTCATTTACTTAATGCCTAAGTGCAAGGTTTTCTGAATTCTGACCTCATTACTCCTTGCACAGAGACATATGGTTCTATTGATACAAATAATAGAGAATGGCAGACATGTTTACAAAGACAATGTCTGAGACCCAGAGAGAGGGAGCCCCCCGGAGCTGAGGGGCTGGCCTGTTGGGCACGCACATGATAGAAGACCCTGGCGTGGGCAGGCACAACCGCCACCTGCAGCAGGTTAGGCTTACAGGAGCGAGAGAGAAGGAGCGGGAGAGAAAAGGAGGGAGGAAGGGAGAGAAAGAGAAGGAGGTGGAGGGAGGAGCGGGAGAGTGTGTGTGTTGCGCGGGGGAGGGGCAGGGGGACTGAAAGGGGAGATGCTGCGACCCATCTGTCTCCTCAATTTGCAGAACATCACGCCGTGTGGACAGATAAAAGTCCTGTGCCCAGAATATGCCCCAAGAGGGGCCTCTCTTCAGCCCGATCGGGGAATCTCGCTGGCCCGCAGATGCGAATTTCCGAAAAGGAAATTGCTTTTACGCCGAAAAGGCTGCACGAGCTCGTCTCCGCTCTGCTCTCGCGGATTAGCAAGTGAGAAGAGTTGGAGCCTGGAGCTGCGAGCGCCG